GTCTTTTGCCCATTTTTTAATTGGGTTGTTTATCTTCCTGGAGTGGATTTGTGTGAATTCTTTATATGTACTGGAGATCAAACCCTTGTCCAAGGTATCATTGGTAAATGTGTTTTCATTGTCTTTTTTTAATACTCACCCAAGGACTTTTTTTTCATTGCTTTTTAGAGAAAGACAAAGGGAGAGAGGACGGGAAGGACAGAAACATTGATGTAAGAGAGAAGCATCAATTAATTGCCTCTCTGATGCACTTGGACTGGGGATTGTATGTGTCAAGACTAGGGATCAAATGCAATCAATCCAGGGATCAAACCCACAACCTAGGTACATGCTCTGTGCAGAAATCAAACCCATAACTCTTCAGTTAAGGGATGATGCTTCAACCAACTGAGCCACACCCACTAAGGTTCATTGTTCTTTTTTATAGAACTGAAGTGTTATAATGCTGTCCTGCATTTTGCTTTTTCTGCACTTGTATTAAGAAACAGAACTTTGAAGATATATTTAAATAAAGCAAAATTAAATGTTCAGTGATCTCTGGACACAGCATATCCCACTTCTAAATCTATCCAAAAGATACATTAGCAAAAATAAAGAACATTTTATGTAGGTTACTCACAGTGCCTTTCCAAGAGAGTGAAATGTCCACCACCAACTACTAAGAATAGTTATGCTAGGGGAAGGAAAAACAGAGGGGAGAAAGTAGGATGGAAGACCTTTCTAAATGTATTATTTTTCTTTTTCTCACCTAATAACTGAAAACAAAATGAAACAAAATTAACTGTGTGTAGATTTGGAGCAATAAAAGAGAGGAACTATTTCAAGTGACTTAAAACACAATCCTTAGACCAGGGCTTCTCAACCACAGCACTGTTGACATTTTGGGTCAGATGACTCTTTGTTTTGGGGGGCTGCCCTGTGCATCATAGGGCATTTAGTACCCAAAATCGGGTGGGCTTCCTTGGTTGGCAACACTTTGAATGTACTGTTATACTTCGTTGCTGATAGAATTAAGTGCTGGGTGTGCCAACTCCACTGGAGGGTTGTAAAATACAGGAGGAGGGGGCACACTGTGGCACATGGGCGACACAGGGGAGCACAGGGAGTAAGAGCCATTAATGTGAGGGGGAAGGAAGGGGGAAACCAGGCTGACATTGGTTAGTTTGACTAATTTCAATTTGACTAATTTCTGTGCCTTGAGACACAGGAGTTGTTCCTAGTTTTCTAGTACCTGGCCCTGGGGTGACTAGGGCAGATGAAAGGTGGCCCAGGGTGTGAAACCCCAGAAAGAAGATGGTTGGAGTATGGGCTCTGGGTTGGTTGGTTTGCATATAAAAGATGTGCTCACAAGTGAATCATTTACAATCTCTAGGGTTGGGCTAGTCCTTGGAGGGGCAGTCCCTCCCTGGCTGGAAAGGCCTCTGGTGTCAAAAGCATCAGAAACACATGGTGAACACAGAGAGGACAAGTAGAAGCTTGTACCTGCTTTCTCCAGGACTTTACCCATGTATCTTCCCCTTTTGCTGAATTTAATTGTTTCCTGTAATAAATGGTAATTATAACATCTTTTGTGAGTTCTGTGAGCCTAATGAATCACAGAGCCTGTGCAGAGTCTTAGAGACTCCAACCCAGCTGCTAAAATCATTAGGTGAAAGGGTGATGGGGAACTTCCTAATGGGATAGATTAGGCTGATACCATCACTTAGCAACGGAAAGCGGGACTACCAGATATTATGTTCTTCTCGACATGATACAACAGAAGTATGCAGAATCACCTAAGAAGTATTCATGTCAAATGAACTGAATCCAAATATAAATCTAATCAGGCCTCTCCATATAACTGCAAATTTATAAGAAATATGGGGAACTAAGGAACCCATTAACAACACGGGAGGAAATATACAGCTAAACCCAGGATGGGGGAGATTTCACAGAACAATTGATGTATTTGTTCAGCTCATAAAAGGAGAGTGAATGGTCACAGATTTAATGAGACAGAAGACAAATCATTCAAATGCATTGTGTGAACTTTGGATCCTAATTTAAACAAATCAATAGTCAAGACGTTAAAAACATTTTTTGATGGATGGAATGGAAGTTTCCATTCTAGACATGATTTCTAGCTCATCTTAAGAGTGTTTTTTTCCATTGCTCAAATCATTCTTTTATGGAAGAACCTTCTACTAATCTTGTCATGGTGAGACCCAAGCATTGCATTCTTAGAAACATCTCATAAACTGCTCTCTGCACTCCTCCTCAAGCAAGAGGATTGGAAGAGAACCCAGTCTGGTGAAACATCCTATCTAAATGTTGATTCTTCCAAATACCGGAAAGGAGTGTGTACAAGCTGTTTTGGGGTCACTGAAACCAATACCTTACAGAAGCTCATCGATTTCAAGGACTGTGTAGATCTTCCAGTCAGGCAGTGAGCAAATGCTTGTTGAGTACCTTCTATATGTGTATGCTGTGCTAAAATTAAGTGACGCATAAATGAATATGTAGAATAAAATACAGAGCCCAGAAAGAAATCCTTGCTTATATGGTCAATTAATCTATGAGAAAGGAGGCAAGGATGTACAATGGGGTAAAGACAGTCTCTTCAATAACTGGTTCAAAACTGAACAGACACATTCAAAAAATTAAATTAGATCATGTTCTTACACCATATACAAAAAGAATTAAAAATGGAGTAAAGACTTAAATATTAGACCTGAAATCATAAAATCCCTAGCAGAAAACACAGCAGTAAACTCTTAGAGGTTGCAATCTTTTTGGATATATTTTGCCAAACAAGGAAGCAAAAGAAAAAATAAGCAAATGAGACTACAACAAACTAAAATGTTTTTGCACAGTGAAGGAAACCACCAACAAAATAAAAAGACAACCAACTGAATTGTATCCACAAATGAGACGCTGGATAGGGGTTAATATCCAGAATATAGAAGGAACTCATACAACATCAAAAACAAAGGAAAAATCTGACTAAAAAATGGTCAGAAGACATTTCTCCCAAGAAGACATACAGATGGTCCACAGTTGTATGGAAAGATGCCTAATGTCACTAATCAACAGGGAAATGAAAATTCAAACCCACCCCAGCAGAATCACCAATAAATCAGCAAATAACAAGTGTTGGCGAGGATGTGAAGAAAAGGGAACGCTTGTATACTGTTGGTGAGATTGTAAATCGGTGCAGCCACTATGAAAAACAGTATGGAGATCACTCAAAAAACTACAAATAGAGCTGCTATATGATCCAGCAACTCCACTTCTAGTTATTTATCTGGGTAGTAAACAAAAACACTAATTTGAAAAGATATATACACCTCTCTGTTCACTGTAGCACTACTAGTAATAGCTAAGATGCAATCAACCTAGATGTCCATAAATAGGTGAATGGATGCAAAAGATACACACACACACACAGAGCAATATTTTCAGCTGTAAAAAAGAATGAAATTGCCCCATTTGTGACAACATGGATGGACAGGATATAGAGGATATTATGCTAAGTGAAAAAATTCAGACAGAAAAAGACAAATACCATATGATCTCACTTAAATGTGGAATCTACCAAAACAAAATAAATAGACAAAAACAAAACAGAAACAGCTCCACAGATATAAAGAACAGGCTGATACTGCCAAAAAGGAGAGGGTGCAGGGATGGGCATAAAAAAAGGGCTGTGATGGGCATCAAATTAATAATATAAGTTAACTGACAAATATTTTTTGATGACCTACTACACACCTAGGGCTGTTTTCGGCATGCAGATAAGCTGTAAATAAGACAAAGCTCCCATCCTCAAGAAGCTTCTTGTTGAAAGACATTTTTGAGACAACAGAGGAAAACTGAAACAAATTGCATATTAGATATTAAAAACTTATTAATTTTTCAGGTGAAATATGATGATTAGGGTTTGCTTTAAAATGCTCCAAGAAAAAAAATTGAAGGGGAGGTGGGGAATAGATCAGAAAACAGCATAAAGCTGATGGTAATCTGGGTGATGGGTACATGCAGGTCTACTATTTTTAGTGTCCATTAAAAATTTTTATTACGAGTTTTTTAAATAAAGATTTTAATTTATTTTTAGAGATGGGAAGGGAAGGAAAAAGGGAGAGAAACATCAATGTGTGGTTGTCTCTAGTGTGTCCCCTATCGGGGACCTGGCCCACAAGCAAGGCATGTGCCTTGACTGGGAATCAAACTGGCAACCCTTTGGTTTGCATACTGGAACTCAATCCACGGAGCCACACCAGCCAAGGCTACAAGTTTTTTTAAAAAAGTGTTTAAAAATTAGAAGTAGTTATCAGTAAAAACCCATGATCTAACTGAACACATGAAATTTTAGAACCTGCCAATATTGCAGAGATGTGATTTTAAGGCACAGGTAAGATTCTAAACTTAGGTTTTAAAAAATTAAAGTCAAATTAAAATGAAGAAATTTGGTGTTTAATAACCACTCTCAGCTCCTGATAAAACAGGCAGAGCCCACAGTGAAGCTGTCTTTCATCGCTAGCTTTCAGCATTTTCCCAGCCTCTGCTCTAAAGTCTAAATTTAGGGGTTTATTTTTAGATTTTTTGGTGCAAATCTGACAAACTTACCATAAAATTTAGGAATAAAAATCACCCCCTTCCATTCTCCTATTAATCATTATCCTTTGAAATAGAATCTCATAATAGAGATGCATAACCTTTTGTGGATAAAAGTTCCTGCCAGGCGAGGTTTCCTAACTGCTATTATAATATGGGATTTGGGGTCCAGCAAAGGATCTCTCTGATTAAAACATCATGTCAGAGCCTGGCCTTCAGGTAGGGTGTTTTTACCTTTCTCTCCTGCTATGTAACAGAATTTAGGGAAAAAAAATCAAGGATAACTTGTTACGACAAACGTATTTTCTGTAATTTTATTTTTTCAATAAATTTTTTAGATTTCATTTTTTTATTTTTAGAGAGAGGGGTAGGGAGGGAGAAAGAAATGGAGAGAAACATTGATATGTGAGAGAAATATCCATTGGTTGCCTCTCACATGCACCCAGTTGGGGACTTGGCCTGCAACCCAGGCATGTGCCCTGATTGGGAATCAAACTAGCAATCCTTTGGTTTGCAGGCCGGCACTCAATCCACTAAGCCACACTGGCCAGGGCACTTCTGTAATTAAAAAAAAAAGTAACAACACACACACACAAACTTGTACGTGAATGTTCACAGCAGTACTATGCACAATAGCCAAAAAGTGAAACAAATGTCCAAAACCTAATGACTGGATAAACAAAATGCAATTTACGCATACAACTGAATATTATTTTTTATTTCACAGTACCAATTCATGTTACAACATCATGAATCACAAAACACTGTGTTAAATGAAAGAAGCCAGTCCATGTATTGTATGATTCCATTACATGAAATACTCAGAACAGGCACATTTGGAGACAGAAAGTGGACTACTGCCAGCCCTGGGGCTAAAGGGCTTGAAGGGAAATGGGAAGGTACTGCTAGTGTCCGCATGGAGCTGAACATTGTCCCCGGACATTTACAACACAAAAGAGTTTCAAAGTTGATTGTGGTGATGTTTGCACAACTTTTTGGATACACCAAAACCACTAAAATGTATACTTTGTGTGGGTTAATTTTATGGTATATGAGTTATAACTCAATAAAACTTTTTATTAAAACATATTTAAAGCCATAAAAAATGCTGAAGAACTGACAAGGGCCTTGAGTAATCTCAACATAGAGAGCTTCAATTGTCAGATAATAATTTAAGGTGTGAAGGGGTGAAGAGTTAAATATCAGATGTTAGTTAGGCTTGTTGCTAAGTCTGTTGCTGATTTACTCTATGGACTTTTTTTTTTTTTTTTTTAAAGATTTTATTTATCTTTAGAGGGGAAGGAGAGAGGAGGAGAAACATCAATGTATGGTTGCCTTTGGTGCGTCCCCTGCTGGGAACTGGCCTGCAACCCAGGCATGTGCCCTGACTGGGAATCGAACTGGGATCCTCTGGTTCATAGGCCTGCGCTCAATCCACTGAGCTACACCAGCCAGGGCTACTCTATGGACTTTTGGTCTTTTAGACAGAACACTTTCCATTGAAAGTCACAGAAAACCATCTCAAACAGGCTTACTCAAAACGGTAGGAATTTATGTTCCTGTAATTGAAGTCCAGGGTGGGCACTGGCTTCAGGCATCTGTTTCATTCGTTGCTGCCTTCATTGTAAAGCTGGTTGTCTCTATGTGGTAGGCAAAGTTCCAAGAATATGTGGCCCTCCCAACTCCTGATACAAGAGGAGAGAGAAGCTTTCCTGATAGGTCTTGCAATAGTTCCAGGACTGTCCAGGGCTCAATAGTTCACATTCCTGGAGCCAGGAATAAGGTTTGGTTCAACCAAGTCTTATGGTTGCATGGTTTCCCACTGAGCAGGACAGAGTGGCTCTCCAAAAGAAAGACTGGGTGTGCAAAATATACGTCCACTATGACAGGTAAAGCTCTAGAACGTACAAAGATTTAAACATCATTTCAGCCCAAGATATACTTGCTGAATTAATGTAGGAACACACAAAACAGAGCATCACTTTTAAAGTATCATATTTAAAATTCTTATTCCATAATTTTAAGAATAAAACACAGGTTAGGACAGATGCCAAGGTCATTAGTGAGATGCCATTTTAGCAGAGAGCTACTTCAGTCAAGTATAGACTGTTCCATGTTCCGAAATTCCATCCCTCTTACACAGAAGAGATATGTTGCTTTGGTAGATGGCAGACTTTTTGTCCTGATTCAGCTACAGGAAAAGCTAACGCTTGTCCAGCACAAAGGAAGAAGGTGGTCTAGCAGGAAGGGCTGGAATACACCTTGCTACCAGTAAGTTTGCTCTTTGCAAGCTTTCCCTTCTCATTTAAATTGGTGATAATCTGGTGGGTTTCTGATCCAGGATCCAAATGCATGCTTTCGGAGTGTGCTCCAGGCTTCCTGGTAGGCAGATGCAGCCTCCTTGTACTCTTGATATGTCTCTAGCTTCCGCACCCTAATGCACACAACACCACCAAACAGTTTCTCATTGAACAGCTCACCACCATGGCCAACAGGACACCTGAACAATCAACTGGACAGATTCATTATGAGAGACTTAGGAACAGGAGAATTTTGGCATGCTTGCTTTCCTAGACAGACTCTATCTATCTCCTTTGTGGGGAATTCACTACAAAATAACATGGATTAAAACAGGCAAGAATGAAAAGAATGCTAGTTTTGTCTGGTCCTGGTGAAATCAGATAAAAACAAAAATAACTATCATTTTTTTTGGTTGAAAGTTTTCTAAGTGCACATAATTTCCACCAGAGGATACAGCCATTAGAAACTCCTTGGCTGCATTTTCCCTCACAAAGCAAAGCACGTTCCATTTCATCCATACTCACCTCCTACATACCGACAGCCAACACTCCTCCCATCCCTTAGTTCTGACTGCTAATAAATAGCTGATATATTGAATAATATTTGTAATACTTATATCTAGTTTTAAAAGGTTTTCATTGTAACAAAGACTCTGTTGGCCAAACTTGAGTCAAGCTCCTCACAGCTCTCTTCTCCACTTGGACCTTGAGCTCCATCTTTGTACCTTATGGTTGAAGAAACTGACACTCATGTCTTATTGATCCAATTTTATCCCGCTTCTTAGCTCACTTCAGCAAAGTTGCTGTTTGCAGCAAAAATTGATTTCAGTTGTTTGATCCATTTCCTATAGCTTTTTGTTGGTTAATGGGTGGGACCTATTCATATGACAATGTTAAACTTTACCCGAGCCCCAAGTTCCTGAAAAACAGCTATGGGTAAGGAATCTCCCTGCCACCCTTCTATGTTCTGGGACGTGGCTGACTGCAAAGAATTGCCCTTCCCCGTGACTCAAATAAGACTCTTGGATGCCCCTACCGTTCACCTATCACAAAGCCAGACAGAGACCCTCTAAATTCCCATTCTTTGTCCCATAACAATGAACTGAATCCACTGACCAATCTTGACAAAATACCTGCTAACTTGACCAAATATCAGGTGCGCTTCTCTCCTTATCCCAGGCCCCAGAACTCTGATCCAGCCTCAGAATGTGTAACATCCCCTGAACAGCCCCTCCTGAGGATCAACTGGCAGCAAGAAAAGACATTTCCCTGTTGGTTCAATTGTCCTATCACATCACCTGCTCATCCCACTCCCCCATCAAGGTGCTGTTGAGCCTTGATAACCTCTCTGTATAAAAGAAGACTCCTTTCCATGTGCCCTTTGGGAAGCTTGCAAAGCTTATGATTGGAGTGTTGTTGCTATTGTATTAGTCCTCTCCTATTGTAATAGACTCCTTCTCTTACTACAATAGTCCTGTTGAGTGAAGTTCTTTCCTTAACTAAGTCCAGAATTGTTTTTAATACACAGAATGTACAGAAACCCACCCAGTTCCAATTTGATTCATTTTTCTGGACAAGAAACAAGCAAACCAACCACGAATGACTGGAGGGCATTGATACTAACCACAGCATATATGATGGTGATAACAGTGGCTAGTCTCTTCATATAATAGTTTCTGGATACTCCTCTGCTTCCCTACTGTGTACAATAAAGATTTTGGCTGGTCTTTGTTGCCAGTTCCTGGGAGGGAACCTCTACACCCTTAGAATTTCCCAGGGGATAGGACTGTCTTTATTATTCATGATGGACCCCTCAGATCACACTTAAGCTCATGTTTAACAAGGTGACTCATGGTGAGCCCTGGAGAGTTGCAGGATGGGGCTGGCCATGCCAGAAACACCAACCATGAGACTGGAGACTTGGAGCACTGAGCCACCTGATAGCACTATTACATCATGGGGTGGGAGGGGCATGTAAGATTAAGTTCAATCGCATCATGTGAACTACAATTTGATCAGTCATTCTTTTAATAACCCGTCCCCCAAAACTCTGAAGCTCAAGTCAGCTTTCTGGTTGGTGCTGAAAGGGTGATGCATCCTGAGAACAGGGAGACTCTGAGTTTGGGACCTTCCCAGACCTCATCCTACCTGTCCCTTCTTTTAGCTGGTCCTAACTTGTATTCTTTACAGTCAAAGGTAATTGTAACTACAGCTGCTTTCCTGAATTCTGTCAGTTTTTCTAGTGAATTGCTGAACCTGAGTAGGTAGTGGAAATCCTGAGTTTGTGGTCAATTGGTCAGAAGTGTGGGTGGCTGGGAGCCCCCAAGCTTGTGGCTAGCATCGGAAATGAGGGCAGTTTCTAAGGACTCTGCCCTCTATTTTGTAAAATTTGGCTCAACTCTGGGTAGTTAAGTGTCTGAATTGAACACACTCACCTGAAGTGGTTTTATAGTTCTCTACATTCCTGTTTGGAGAGTGATTTCAATCATGGAGTTGCAGTTCATAACCAATGATGTGAACAAAAGAAAAAGAGACTTGAGCCCTGGCTGGAGTGGCTCAGTGGTTTGAGCGTCAGCCTGTGAACTGAAAAGTCACCGGTTTGGCTCCTGGTCAGAGCTCATGCCTGGGTTGTGGGTCCGGTCCCCATCTGGGGGTGTGCAACAGGCAACCAATGGTGTTTCTTTCCCTCTCTTCCTCCCTCCCTTTCCCACTCTCTAAAAATAAATAATTAATAAAATCTTTTTTTAAAAAGTAAAAAAGAAAAAGAAAATAATTAAGAGAAAAACTCTTAATTATATTGCTCTCCAAGCACTCCTATTTTCACAATGTGTTCCACCTGAAGGTGAAATGAAAGGAGGGCCTGGAATGGTCCTAGACCCAATTCCACTCTTAGTCTCTTGTGACTTTGTACCAAACTACCCATCCTCCATACCTCAGATCCTACACGTATCTGCAAGCAGAGCCATGGGGAGGGAAGAGCGCGTGGTCAGTGGTCAGTGCCCACTGGCCTCCTGAAACACCACTCCTGCTGAAGCTTCCTGCTATTCATAAGCCAGAAATAAACCAGAAGTTTTCCAAAATATGAAAAACATGGGTCAACAGCATCACCTGAGGGAGTCTGGCCACTTGTCCTCTGAAATACTGCTTAGCAGCTTCTGGAATGATCTAAAGAGTTCCACTTTGCTGATTCGAGATCTGTTTGGAAAAAGATGAAGAGGATTTATTGTTTGCTATGTACCAGATCCCTATCAAAGTTACCAAGCTTCAAATGGTATTGGATGTGCCTGAGCCCCCATTTTCACCTGAACTGGTTAAGGAGAAAATTTAGACCCAAGGGTCTGATTAGGTGGAGGCAAAAAAAGGAATCTCATCTTAAGAAATGTCATCAGGCCCTGACTGGTGTGGCTCAGTGGACTGAGTGCTGGTCTTCAAACCAAAGGGTCACTGGTTCGATTTCCAGTCAGACCCTGGCCTGGGTTGTGGGCCAGGTCTCCAGTAGGGGGTGCTAGAGAGGCAACTGCACGTTAATGTTTCCATCTCACCCCTCCCCTCTCAAACAAACAAACAAATACAATCTTTTAAAAAAAATGTCATCAGCATGAAATCAAGGTGACAGGTTCAAAGGGGATAAAGGCAGAGGTGAAGTTACTAAATTGCCCCCAGGGTACCTATCAGCCACATTGGCTACCTCCTTTCAAGGGAACTGGCCCCTTGGGTAATACTACTTACAAGAAATGGAAATTTTATTTCAGAAACTTGAATGCTTCTACCTGTTTGAAGTCTACTTCCATGAGCCACCTGAGGCAGAATCTCCAGATTGTCCCTTTGAGCATTAAGGGCTTTTGAAGGCCAACCTATTGCTTCAATCATCAAGCTTCATAAAAGTTGCAATTTGGAGCAGGGAAGGAAGTGAGTGTGGATTCCTTACCAGCCCACCTGGGCCTTCTTGGTTTGGCTACTCCAGTTTGGCTGTGGCCTGGATTGTATGTGCCTCCTTCCTTCCCTCATATACACAATTCATGAACTGATCTAGAAGTTGGGGACCACTGTGAGTGCCCACAATGTGTAGTCTCATGTTTACACACCATACCTTTCACTGTCTTCACAAACTGTACCACCAGCTTGGATACAGTGGCCATTCTGGTACCTATGATATAGGGGATTGCAGAGTCTATTAAGAACCTACCTTTCCTGGAGGGAGCCTAGCCTTCTGAAGGAATCACTGCTTAAAGCAGAACTCTAAGCCCTCACAGGCTGCTCTTCTTGGGCCTGAATTGTGGTAAGTGGCTGTTTGCACTCAGGAACACAAAGCTGCTTTAACATTTAAAACCCTCCAAAGCCAAAAAAACTAAAGGAACTCATTACCAGATTAAAGGAGAAAAGTAACAGAACTATGGAAAATGTATAGAGAAAAATCATGTTAGAATTCAACATCAAATGATTTAAAACCTTTTACAAATGAGGACTAAGTAAGGTATTTAAATTCATAGAGGGTGTCTATAAAAACCTACAGCAAATACACGTCCTTAAAATCAGAAAGAAGAGAAGGGTCTTGCTTTTACTGCTTTTATCTAACATTATACAATAGGTTCTGGCCAGTAAGACAAGAAATAAAAGGAATAAGGATGGAAAAGCAAAAACCAAAGCCATTATTCACAGATGAGTGTAGTATTGTCAGTTCTAGGCAGCAGAGTAAGTCAAGAAATGAATGGAATGGAGGATTAGAAAGGAAATTCTACTTGCAAAAGATTATCTATATTAAAAACTTTCAAAAGAATTCCCATATAAATCAGCAGAGTAATAAGCATTAACGAAGTTGCTGGATACAAACACTGGCTGCAGCAGAGAGAAACAAAAAACTGGTTGCAATAGCAATGCCCAGAAAATGAAATAAAAATTACTTAAAATAGCATTGATAGTAGCCAGCCTGTGAGGTGTTGATTCTTGCCTTCTGCAATTTCCCCTGTGCAATCCCCTTGTGCCCCCACACTGAATAGGGCTGAGCTGTATAACCATTGGGAGGTTGCAAGTGCAGTGTGACTTCTGAGGCTAGATCATAAAAGATACTGTGGCTACTGCCTTGCTTTCTTGGATCACATGTTCTGGGAAAGCCAGACACTGTGTTGTGAAGATGAACACTGGTAGCCTTATGGAGAGATCTAAGTTGTGAGGAACTGAGGCCTCCTGCAAACAGCCAGCACTGACCTGTCAGCATCGTGAGTGAGACATTTCGGAATTGGATCCTCCAGACATGGTCAAGCCTTCAGGTGACTGCAGCACTGGCTGACATAATGGCCTGTAACCTCCTGAGTCCCTGAGCCAGAATTATCACTAAGCTCCTCCCAAATTCCTAACACACAGAAACTATGAAATAATAAGTGATAATTGTTGTTTTAAGCCCCTAAGTTTGGGGGGGATAACTTGTTATATAGTAAGAGATAACTAGTATAACATTTAAGAAATAACTCTAATAAAAGATGTGAAATATTTATATGAAGAAAATTGAACTTTACTAGAAAAAATATATACACACACACACACACACACACACACACATATACCTAGGAAAGCTATACATATATATGTAATTAAAAATATTTTATTTACTTATTTATTTTTAGAGAGAAAGAAGGCAGGGAGAAAGAGAGCAAGAACTCGATGTGAGAAAGAAACATTAATTAGTTACTTCTCGTCCGTGCCCTGATGGGGGACCAACCCAGAACCCAGGCATGTGCCCTGACCAGGAATTGAACTGGTGACCTTTTGCTTTGTGGAATGACGCCCAACCAGCTGAACCACATAAGTCAGGGCTGTAGTTTTTTTAAACATTACACAGTCACATTGGTATTTTCAATCTAGCACTATCTTTACTCTAACATACTTAGGTATACTTCAATTTATTTTTTAATCCCTTCATTTTTTATAATCCAATGGACCATATAGTCATTCTCTAGGTTGTTTGGTATCTGGACAGGGAGGGGAAGACAAAGACAATTTTCTACTTAGGGCAAAGGAATTTGCCTGTAACAGGCAGAGCAAAATTAAGGTTGTTAAAAATAAGGGTCCTGATATCTCATTGTTGGTAAAACACACACACACAGGATTTATATAAAATAGTTCCTTTAGTGCTACGCTAGTATATTAAATGTCTGTAACACCCCAGTCTGAGCTCATATTCCCTGTAGTTCTAAAGAAGGTGGTCCCGGGACGCCGGCACTCGGGAATGAGCCATGAGAAAACCTTCTTTCTCCCCAGCAGTTGCTGGTCTTTAGAATAAAAGTAACAGACTTGTAAATAATATGAAGCTTTATTTGACAAATGAAGGGAAAATCCATCTTAACCAGATCTCTCCTGCAACCCCTGCACCACATTAGAGGCTCTCTCATTCAATTCTTACAACATTCCTGTGCAATAGGAACTCTGAGTTACCCTTGCTTTATTGCTGGGAAAACAAAGTGCAGAGAGATAATTTTCCCAGGTCCACACGTCCAGGGAGAAAGGGAACCAGAAACCACAAAGCATCTACTCTTTCCACCATATACTTCCTCCCTGTATGGAGTCTGCCTTCTAAACGGAAAGGCAGCCACAACGTGTGAGATCTCAGATCATCTATTCCAACATCCTTGTCTTACAGATATGAACACATCGAAGCCCAGAGAGCAACTGGACTTGTTCAAAGTCACCTGGACAGTTGGAGACAGAGGAAGGGCGAGAACAGGAGAGCAGTGTGGTACTGGGAGAAGCTGGAGAACAATACTATGGGAATTTAAAGAAAAGATAGTAATTTTGACCCAGAAGGCAGCAGTGGCTGAGCTGAGTTTCTAAAACTGTGGATTCACAGTGAAGAAGAGCATTTTAGACTTAAGCAAAGCAGCAAACCGAAACCAGTCGGGTGGGCAGGGCCCATACCTTTGAGTTGCTCTAACCTGCCAACACGGCTCAGCAGGAAACACGTGACTCCCGGCCCTGTCCCTAGTGACCTGCTCTGCTCACACAGCCTTGGTCCCCTGAGAGGGGCTAAGGGTGTTGTGAAGCCAGGAAGGCACATGGGGAAAAACGTCCAAAAGTCTCTACCCACAACAGTTTGTAAATACTGCTCAAGTCCATATGCTAGGTCACCAGGAGGCAGGCGAAGTCTGCCATCTAGGCTGTTTCACAGCTGGTTAATGGCTACAAAGAACAACTTTTTTTTTTTAATCTAATAAGATGTAAGTTGTTATTGTTTGTGTTGAATCAGGCAAATAAGCATGTAAAAAAACCCACCTGTGAAATTTAATTATAACTCTACAAAGGCATAATACAAAAAAATGGAAAATCCACTTAGAGTGAAAAAGACTACCTGTAAATTGTGGGAGTCCTACAAGAGTCGCTCAGCACGGCTCAAACCAGCCTGAGATGAAAAACCTTTGGTGCAGGGGCCACCCCCCACAGCCCCTCCCACCCTCAGGCTATCGCAGAACACCTGTGGGTCCGTAGGAGGGAAAAACAGGGTGGATGAGACCAGCTGAGCATTTAGCAAAAGGGGAACCAGCATGACAGATGCATGAACCTCCAAACACACAACAGTGAAAACTGTGTCGTGTCCAGCAGCTCTTGAGCTCTACACTTCAGCAAAAGCCAAAAGCCAAGAAATAAGACCCTACTCCCACGGTGCCCTTTTTGCCAATGCAATCACCATGGAGCTTTATAAGCGAATCTTGGGTTCCAACCTTGGCCTACTAAACCAGAATCCCTAGTGGAAAAGCCCAAGCAAGTGTTCCTTTCAAAAACTCCCAGGGGAAAGAACAGTGTTTCCAAAAAATAGTACGGGGACAACTGGATGCTGAAGAATGAAGTTGGACCCCATCTCACACCTTATAGAAAAAGTAACTCAAAATGGATCAGTCAAAACATAAGAGCTAAAACTATAAAACTACCAAGAGAAAACACAGTAAATCTTTGGGACCTAGAATTAGGCAATGGTTTCTTAGATAGGACACCAAAAGCACAAATTGAAAAAAAAAGATAAAATAGACATCAACATTTTAAACTTTTAAAACACTCTCAAAAAGTGAAGACAGCACACAGAATGGGAGAAAATATTTGTAAATGTGTATCTAATAAAGGACTAGTGTCTAGAATGTAGAAAGAAATCTTACAACTCAACCATAAAAGATAAATAAAACAATTTTAAAAATGGGCTAAGGCCCTGGCTGGGTAGCTCAGCTGGTCAGAGCAGCATCCCAATATGCCAAGGTTGTAGGTTCAATCTCTAGTCAGGGAACAAACAAGCAGCAACCAATGAATGCATAAATAACTGAAAGAGCAAATTGATGTTTTTCTCTCTTTCTCTCTCAAATCAATAAATAATTTTCTAAATGGGCTAAAATCTGAATAGATATTTCTTCAAAGATATACAAATGGCTACCGAGTATGTGAAAAGATACTCCACATCATTAATTACAAGGACTGTGCGAATGGAAACCCCAGTGAGACAGCACTTCGCACCCACTAGAATGGCTTCAATAAGGAAAAAAACAGACAATAACAAGTATCGTAAATTATGCAGGGTAATTGAAACTCTCATACATTGCTGGGGGAAGTTTTAAAATGGTGTTGCTGTGCCCTGGCTGGTGTGGTTCAGTGGATTGAGCGCGGGCCTGCAAACCAGATGCTCGCGGTTTGGTTCCCAGTCAGGGCACATGCCTGGGTTGCGGGCCAGTTCCCAGTAGGGGACACATGAGAGGCAGCCATGCATTAATGTTTCTCTCCCTCTCTCCTTCCCTTCCCCTCTAAAGATAAATAAATAAAATCTTTAAAAAAATGGTGTTGCTGTTATGGAAGACAGTTTAGCATTTCCTCAAAAGTGAAACCCAAGGTTATCACATGGCCTAGGAATCCCATTCCTACGCATACGCAAGAGAACTGAATATGTGCCCAGGTGCTCCCCCTCCTGGGAGCACTCCTGCGCCTTTCCCTTCCCCCTCTTCTTCCCCGACAGGCGTGCATCTCCTAAACTCTAAGGGGTCGGACTTGCAACCAAGGAAACAATGGGCAGCAGCAGCTCATCCCAGGTAAACCCCCTGAACCTGTGTCCAAGGCCCCTTTTCTCCAACTCTCCAGTGAGCTGACCGCAGCCCCGCCTCGGCTCCCTTCTTCCCCATGACATTTCTAGGGAGCCAAAGCACCCCACCTGGGCTCTCTCCCGTTGCTTCTTCCCTCCCAGGCCCTTCCTTGTTACACGGTCCCTGGCTTTAATAAATGTAACCTTAAAATAAAAAGAAAATGTCCACCTCAAATCTTGTATACAAATGTTCATAGCAGCATTATTCATAAAAGCCAAAAAGTAAATAACCCAAACATCCATCAATGGATGAGCAGATAAACAAACGGTGATATATCTGTACAATAGAATATTATTTAGCCATAAAACAGAATGAAAGACTGATAAATGCTACAACATGAGTGAACCCTGAAAACATGCTGAGTAATGCAGTTAGACATAAAAGGCCACATAATATATACTCCATTTACATGGTATGTCCATAATAGATAAATCCATGCAGACAGAATATAAATTAGGGTTGCCCGGGGTGGGGAAAGGGAAGGGTGGGGAGTGAGTGTTAATGGGTATAAGGTTTTCTTTGGGGTGATGAAAATGATCTGGAATTAGTGGTGAGTCGTGAGCACACAGCCACCACCTCCTTCTGCCCCCGTCCGCTGTACCTGGCCTGGAGGCTTCCGATTCCCTTCTTCGTTGTTCCCTGTGGAAAGCCATTGGCAGTGACATCCAAAGGCTGCTCAGGAACTGCGGTCCAGCTGATGGCTATAAAAAGATAAGATTCTAGAGTGAAAACTATTCGGTCTTTTATAAGTTCCAGAGATGTTTCAATGAAAATTTCTCCCTCCTTTTGCAGACCCATGAGAGATGGACAGAATGTCATACACGATGACTGTCACTCGGACACAGAGTACAAGAGGTTTGTTCATGATTAATCATCATTATCATAACAACTGACAATCACTGAGCATTTATGAAACAGAATTTCTTATTTAATTCTCATAACGATCCTGATAAATAAATGATACTTTTATCTGGAGATGAATAAAGATTGAGGGTGAGAGAGACGAAGCAGGTTGCCCAGGGTCACAGAGAACATGACCTTGACGGAGTGTGGGTGTCTCCAAAGCCCACGCTATTGACCGTTTGGGTGGTAAACGGCCTCCCCAGGCTGGGAGGATGTGGCCAACCCCAAGGCACTCGGTGGTCTGGGGACAGGTTACTCCAGGGCAAGTGGAACCTGGATCCCTTACCTGCTCCGCAAGGAACAAGTCGGCCTGGGGTGTCAGCCCTTTTGGTCCGCAGGGCGCAGCGGCTCTGCTCAAACAGTAAATCTGACTGCTGTATTTTCACTTCCTGAACTCCGAAGCCTTTGGGTAAAGCTGAGATATTCTGACACCTAAATGTGAGGGGAAAATCACTCAGTTTAGGCACATTCCTTGAAAAAGAGAATAGGATTGTGGACCCCATTGCTGCCACTGTGTCTCAGTGGGAGGCAAAGGCCTCAGGAGGTGTGTGGGTTTGTTTGTTTATGGGGAGGCAAGTACAGGAGGGTGTGGGAGAAGGCAATCTAAAGCACATGAAACTCAGGGCTGCAGGAAGACCCCCTCCCACCACTCTGAAGGGTAACTATTTGAGTCACCACCCCTCACTGATTTTGGTAACACCAAACTCCATTCCCCATATTGGTTTTCAAAGATTTGAAAATCGTACGAGGAAACATTAATTTGTTGGCATCTACTTCCTAGGGAATCCTTCAAACACACCAGAAATCAAAGTTACCCTATAATATAAAACTTCCTTTGTTTCTCTTTCACATAAACTCAGTGCCAACAAGACGTTGGTTTAGACCTGAGCAGACAGCAATTTAAAAGTCTCAGGGTAGGGAAAACATGGAAAACACAGAAAACATCTTGGGCAGAGTGGTTAGGGTCATTTTTATTTTTTTTAAACATGTTTATTGGGATATAGTTTATATACCAAAAAAATTGCCCCTTTGTAGTATACAATTCAAAGTTTTTTAGTGCGTTCACGGAATGGTGCAAATATCACCACATTCTGAGTTTATAGTATTCTCATCAGGCCAATAGGAGACCCTGCACCATTTGGCAGTCATTCCCCATCCCCTTCTCCAGCTTCTGGCACCCACAAATCTACTTTCTGTCTCTTTAGATTGCCTATTTTGGATATTCATTATGTAAAATCATATACTATGTGGCTTCTTTCACTTGCCATAAGGTTTTCAAGGTTTATCCATGTTGCAACATGTATCAGTCCATTTTTTGTGGCTGAGTAGTATTCTACTGTGTGGACATACCATATCTATCCATTCATCAGCTGGTATACATTTGGGTTGTTTTACTTTGGGTCTATTATGATGAATTCTGCTGTGAACATTCATGTGCAAGTTTTTACGTGGACATGTGTTTTCATTTCTCTGGGGTATGTACCCAGAAGTGGAATTAGCAGGCCATATCCTGGGGCTGCGTCCCGGAGTTGGTTTCAGGAATGGTCATTTGACATAGGCTCACAGGCTGCCCCTGTGAGCATTCATCCTGCCTGCAGCTATCACAGCATTCATTGGGTCTGGCTGCCTTCTTTAGAAAGACCACACTTGAGTGGTCATCCTTTGTCACTTAGCTTTTCAAATATTAACACTAATGATTGAAGGTTTTTTAAATTTTTAACAGCAATATTTGTACACTGCAGAAAATTAGAAAACAGTAATCACAAAGAAGAAAAAACTACCCATAATACCACATCTCAGAGGTAATAACATTAATACCTTTGTGTACATCCTCTTATAATTTTTCTATATGCTTATATACTTGAAGACCAACATGAACTTATTTTATCTTCTAAATTGCCCTTTAGACTCATAGACAGAGAGAAGAATGGCGCTATGGTGGGGGGTTAGGTGGTGGAGGGACTGAGCAAAAAGGAAAAAGGACTCGTGGACATGGACAACAGTGTGGTGACTACAAGGGAAAGGGGGTATAAGGGAGATAAATGGTGATGGAAAAAATAAAAGAAAAATAAAAAATGAATTGCTCTTTAAACATAATAAGCATCTTACCATATTAAATTTCTTCCACAGGAGTCTTAACAAAAATCACTTGATCTATTGCTGGCCATTTTACTGGTTTCCTTTTTTAAAAATGACTACATACGAAGCTAAATGTTTGAACCTTTCCTTAATTATTTATTTAGGGCAAATTCCTAGCAGTGGAACTGCTGGAGCAAAATGCATAGATATTTCTAGGGCTCTTTGGACATATTCTCAGACTGCTTCTTGGAAAGGCGGTTCCAATGGAGCCCTCCCTCCCTGTCCTCTCACCTCTCAATGAGTGCTCTCCGCATGGCTTCCTGGCTGTACGGGCACTTCCCGATGACCACAGCTGACAGGTAGATGGGCTCTTCTAGGAAGTGCATCAACAGTGACCCCTGGCAGCCGAGGACGTTCCACCGTGCCAACTTGTCACTGCAGGACATGGAGCAAGTCCTGTCTCCCCGGCCTGGCTTCACTCGGAGCAGCCCCACCTGGTGGTACGCGGCACCAGGCTTTCCTGAGTCTCCAGCTTCCCCAGGCACACACTTAGCTCCAGTTCTATAAACATCCACCACTTTGGCACCACTGGGGGCCAGTCCAGTGGCCAGTTCTTCTGAGCTGAGATTGGAGCTGCCGACTTTTGGTGGGACTGGGCCATTTTCCTGATTGCCAAAACTCTGATGGTGAGCCTCACCGTTGGCAACTTTTCTGGCAGGAATCTTGGGCTCAAGCCTCATTTTTTTGGCCACAGGACTGTCCGGGTCTTCGCATCTTCTTTTACCTTCAGTAGCTTCCAGGTTACCACTGGCTTCTACTGATGGGTTATGGGCCCAGTCTTCACTGACAGGACAGCAAGGCTGGTCTTCGAACTCCAGCATTGGAATGATAGAGGCATCCCCGCCTACAGGAGAAGAAACCCCTTAAACCAGTGGTTCTCAGGAGTGAGACCAGCCACAGCAGCAGCCCTTAGGAACTTGTTAGAAATGCAGATTCTTAGCTGCATCAGAAACTCTGGAGGTGGTATCCAGCAGTTTGTGTACTAATCAACTTTCCAGGCTCTGATGCAAGCTCAAGTTTGAGAGCCACTGCTTTAAACAAAGCTTAATATGTCTATGGCCATACCACTCTGAATGTGCTTGGTCTCATCTAAACAAAGCTTAATATTATTCTCCCTGCTGACATGAGATGAATCAAGAACACTCGCCCAAACTGCCTAATATAAATCATCTTGATGACGACTCCTGACCTTCTCCTAGACTCAGTGACTTAGAATTTCTGGAGGGGAGGGGTCTGGAAAATGGAATATCTTAATTAAGATCCCAGGTAATTCCTAACACAGGAAGTTTTGGAAACACTAGTTTAGACCAGAGTTTCTCAACCTCCATGTTATCGACATTTTGGGCCATACAGTTCCTTGCTGTGGGGTCTGTCCTATACATCGTAGGATGTTTAGCAACCTTCCTGGTCTCTGCTTACTAGATTAATAGCAATCTCTAGTCTCACCATCAAAAATGTCTCCAGATGTTGCCAAATGTCCCCTAGGGAACAAACAGTCCTAAATTGAGAACTGCTGGTTTAGAACGAGCAGTTCCCATGTGCATTTTGTGGAGTGTTATCCCATGAGATGTACTGGAAAACAAAAGTGAGTAGCTGATTTCATGGTTAAATATTGGGTTGGCCAAAATTTCTGTAGGATGGCTCTAGTAGCACTTAGTTGTCTTTAACTTCATTCAAAACAATTTTGCTTGATTGTATTTTGGCAACTGTCATATCAGAGTGCATTTTTCATAAGCAATAATCACACCTTGGATAAACCTCATCGCCTACGATACTGCCACTGTGCAAAGCTTCAGTGTGCATTTTAAAAAAAGTATCAAAATTGGTGAACTTTTTGTATAGCCATTTTAACATTGAAGATGGAAGAAGACAAACAACACTTCCAGCATATGCTTTATTATTTCAAGAAAGGTAAAAATGCAACTGAAACGCAAAGTAAGATTTGTGCTGTGTATGGAGAAGGTGCTGGGACTGATTGAACATGTCAAAAGTGGTTTGTGAAGTTTTGTGCTGGAGATTTTTCACTGGATGATGATGCTCCACAGTCAGGTAGAGCAGTTGAAGTTGATAGCAACCAAATTGAGACATTAATTGAGAACAATCAATGTGCATTCTCAAAATATCCAAATCAATAAAGTTATTGGTGAAAATAAAAAAAATGTGTCTTTTGCTTTACAGAAAAGCACCATACAGACTTTTTGGCCAACCCAATAAGTTTGGCAAACAAAGCTTGCAACTTCCCCATCTTAGAGATGTATGTGTATATCCTTAAACTCTGCAGTAACTTACACAGCTGGTGTTTCCCTGTGCTGGTTGAGGGATTTCTGACCTATTCTGTGCTTACAGGGAATCAAACAAACAAACAAAAAAAAACCACCCCAGAGGTTAATAAAAAGCACAGCTTTCTGTTGAGAAGAGAGCTACTTCTTTGAACACTAACCTAATGTGTGCTGCTTTTCTACAATGTGTGAATAATACATCTGTAGCCTTATAACCCAAGAGTGGGAAAGGCAAGAGATGTAGCAGTGGGAGAGTTGCCAGAGAGGCCGGCTGGCAGACTTCCAGAGACCTCACAAGGTGACAGTGACTTTGGAGAATTCACCAGGGCTCACCTCCTACTCTGCAGGCTCAGAGATTTGATTTTGACAGATGCCTGAACTTGAGAGGCTGACTCAAGCTAATAAAACTCATAAGTAAGAGTCTGAAATAGCTAACCTATGCACAAAATTATCAATTAGTAATGAGGAATAAATGTCGGGAACACCAGAAAATCACACTCTCTATGTGGTGGTCTTTCTTTCTGCACACAAACCATGGGTGGACAGCATGTTTAAAAATTTTTTAAATGATCCAGGGAAGTTACATCAGTGGTTCTAGACTTTGATTTCATAGACAAGTAAAACTTCCAGAAGATTTTCCAGAAGGTGGCCAACTTTTTATTCCATAAAGTAAGATCTTTAAAAATCCCAGCTGTAATTATTAGAAATGATGAAACTCTCATAAACCTTAAATGGAAAGAAAGTAGCTTTTTAAAAAACTCACTACATAACACTTATTTTCTTGTAGATCAGTAAGTACCCTCTCACAGAGAAGTACCAGCCTGTGGATATACTGGCTGATTAGGCAGCGGTCAGGCTAGTTTGATCCCCAGATTGTATCTGTCTCCACATAGGACTACTGAATCAGCCAGGCCCTGGCTACTCAAAGTGTGGTCCACAGGCCGACACCACTGGCACCAACCATGAGTTAATTAGAAATGTGCAACCTCAGGCTCCACCCCAGAATCTGAATCTGCATTTTAGCAAGATCCCTGGGTGATTCATACAGCATACTACAGTTTGAGAAGCACAGAGTTAGGAAACATCCTTTGGCCCCTGGACCAGAGCACTCACTAGTGAGAACACTGTGGATGACCCCTGCCTACCTCTGTAACTCTTTTTCAATAGACTTATTGTTTCTTGAGCTGTATTATATTTTTGATTTATGATCAAGTCTTGACAGCAATTCTGTCTCTTAAAGTGATTACCTATCTCTGCTCTAATAGCATGTATTACTCTTAAAGTTTAATAGTCAGAGGGTAATTTTATATCCTCATTTCAAAGTATTTTGGGTGAGGAAATTTTACTGCTGTCCCTGAGTTGTTGTCTACAAAGGGCAGAAATGATTCTTAATTTTCAAGACAGGAAAACAGGGGACCGAACTGACTCTGTAGGCTAGGTCTGGTCTTCCCGCTTAATGCAACCACAGCGTCTGAGCATCCCCTTAAAATTCATGAACGTCTACCTTAACGTCAACATTCTCTAAAAGACTCTATGAGAGTCAGCAAGGGACTAGTCTTATTCCCTGCTATGTACCCACTATGTCACACTGTCCCTGACAAGTAGTAGAAGATACCTGTTTAATGAATGAATGAGTAAAATGAGTTTGGCCTTCTAACCTTACTGCTGGTTTCGGACCTGGTGGGGTTTCAGCTTTAGGCTTCCCAGTCCTGACTGGTAACTGAAAACTGAGTGAGTTCCCCCCCACAACATCCCCAACCCTGCCTTTTCTTGGCAGAGAAATGATCAGGCATACTGGTCTGTTCACAAAGAGGCACTATTGCTGGCTGTAGCTACACTTCAGCCAGAAGTGCTTTTTTGAGGAACATATCTATGGATATGACAAATAAAAGGAAGAAGATGATACGACATTAATCCACAAGCTTAAAATGTACTTACAGGGCGTATGGCTGGAGAAAAATATAAATGACAGGTCTGGTTTGAGTTTCCACAGTCCTCTCTGAGTTCCTGGCACAAAGATGCTATCCTCCTTCAGGGCGGCCACCAAGTTAAGTTGATGGAGAAGGTACCTAATGGGTGCGGGATGTTATCAGAATGAACACCAGTCTCTGTGGTAAAGGAGAAGATTCTGGCTGGGTGATTACTAAGAAAGAAAGATCTAAAGACCAATGGGATGGACAATGGTCTTAGAATTATGAGAATAATCCAGACCAGTGATTCTCGAAGTGTGGTCCTTATACCGGCAGTGTAAGCATCATATGGAATTTGATAGAAATGCAACTTCTCAGGCTCCTCCCTTGACCTGCTGAATCAGAATCTCTGGGGGTGGGCCCAGCAGTCTGGATTTTAGCATACCCTTTACGTGATTCTGATGTACCCTCAAGCTTGAGAACCACTGTATAGAGTAGTGCTATTCAAAGTTTAGTTCATAGCCTAACAAAATCAATTTAACTCAGGAGCTTACTAGAAATGCAAATTCTGAGGCTCCCAAACCTGGCCAAATCAGACTCTCTGGGGATGTGACTTTACCTTTGGAAACTCCTTCTGGCAATGACCTCGGCATGGCTATCGTTGAGGATGTCTCCTGTGGCAAAGACGGGACAGTAGTGAAGACAGATGGAACCTGGAGAAGCTCTGGTATTTAGAAGCAGAACACAGTAATTTCCCTCCTCCAGCACCCAGGATGGCCATGTAGCTCTGGAGGGCTTTGCCAGAAATTATCACAATCACTAATGGCAATGCATTTACAGATGGGTTCCTCAACTTGGCACTTACTGACATTTTGGATGGGAAAATTCTTTGTTGTGGGGTCTGTCTTGTGCACTGTAGGATGTTGAGCAACACTGCTGGCAAGCCAGCATATTTTCCTTCCAGTCTTGTGACAACCAAAAATGTCTCCAGACATTGCCAAATGCCCCTTGAAGTGCAAAATCTCCCCCAGCTGAGTACTACTAATCTATAGGGAAATCTTTATCTGGAGGACAGGGGTCCAGAGCTGTTGTGCCCTGTTATCACACTGGTGTTCATAAAGAAACCACCTCATGGAATTCAGTCCATAGTGGTCCTGGAGTAGCCTCCTCATATACAGGAGGACAAGCTAGGAAAATGGGGGAAGCAAACTCCAGAGGCCTCTGCTAACTGGAAGCAGAAGGTGAAGATGCCAGATCTCTAAGGAATTTCCATATTCTTTTTGGTGCCAAAGTCACCATTTAATTCCAGATTGCTTTCTTCGGTAAGATAATGTGGATTAGCTAAACTCAGGAAACTTCTGGTTTGAGTGTGAAAATACTGGCCAACTTTCAACCCATTCAGAAAGCCTGTTTCCTGGCAGCCTCTGCTTCTGTTGTTTATTTTCACGTGAGCTCTGGCCTTCCAAATGGAGCAACAGCAAGTGTGAACTGAAATGGCAGCCACCTCAGTAACATGACCCCTTTGCTATGAAGAGGACAGGAAAGAGCAACATGGACAGTTTCCAAAGCTCCCTAGACAGGCACTAGTTAGATCCCATGTGGGCTTACCGCTCTTCCTCATTTTGGACTGGCCAATGCATTTCGTTCCTGTTCCCATTGAGACAACTTCCTTTGTCACTGAGGGGGAAAAACATAAATTGTTAAGTGAGCTTTCAGAAACTGAATGGTCCCCAGTCCTCAGGTTTAATAAATGTGCACATTCCTCTAGACTGGAGCATTCCCCAGAGGCTGACCCACCTGCAAAGACCACTGCCCTTCCAGCAGGGCTCTCTCCTACGACTTACATCACTGCGCCACCTGGTGGAGAGCTGGGAGAACATGCCCAACAGCACAGTTTATACCTGGCGACAACAACGGCCCCTGTAGAGCCCTGTATATTCTACCATCTCTGACAAGGAAAGGAAGAGTTTCAAGGAGAAAAAGTCTCACCTTGCACCTGTTTGTCAGGGCAGTCACAGGCCTGGTCAGTTATAGGCTGTATCTTCACTACGGCTGCTAGTAACGTCCATTCACGGTTGGGCTCTGGCTTCCCCTGCTTGGGCAGCCTAGTCCGATAGTGTTCATAACACAGGCTCGCAATCTCATCCGGGGTCCACATGGTCTGCGCTGGTGCTGAGACCCTAACCAAAAACCACAACCATCAGAAGCACAGGAGCCTTTCCCTTCCCCCTCTCCTTCCCCCAAAGATGTGCATCACCTACACTCTAAGGTGTAAGACTTGCAATCAGGGAGCAATGGGCAGTGGTATCTCGTCCAGGGCTAAACCTCTGAACCTGTCTCCAAGGCCCCCTTTTCTCCGACTCTCCAGTGAGCTGACAGCAGCCCTGCCTTGGCTCACTTCTTTCCCTTAGTAAATGTACTCTCAAATTAAAAAAAAATACAGAAAGGAAGGTCAATGCACAATGCTACACCCCGGCATCAGTGTGCTTCAACGGGCTTTCAGATGCAGCCCAACCACATTCATACTTCGGTTCTCTAGCTGAAAATTACTCCATGGGTCATTTTCCCCCACTTCCTGCCGCTTTTAATCTTTAAGGAAAAAGCATAGTCTCAAATCCCACCACCACAAGATACCCTATTTCTTTAAGGTGTTTTTCAATCCTCTTTTTTAGGAATTTTATTTTTCTTTTTTCCCCCACACATTGGTTCTTCACCTCCCTGTAAAAATCTCCCACTGATGCCCCTTTCAGGAAAGCAACCCTTTAATTTCTCTGATAATGCTTTTTCAGAGAAAAGAAACCACTGGGCTCGTCACTTTCAAGTGACGAGCTCAGTGGTTTCTCAACAGTCAAGTGTTCTCACAGGAAATTTTGAAGAATGTGGGCTTTGGAGCCACCCTTCCTGGGTTCCGATTGTGGCTTTGCTTATATTAACTGTGTGGAATTGGACAGATGAACCTACGTCTGTTTCTTCATCTGCTAAAATAGGAATAACAAACATTAGTATTTAATCTATGGGGTTATTGTGAGGATTAAATAATATTTGTAAAAAGTAACTGCTGCCTTGGATGGGAAGCTCAGTTGATTAGAGCATCGCCCCAATAGGTCAGAATTTTGGGTTCGATCCCCGGTCAGGGTACATACAAGAATCAACCATTAAATGCAGAGATCAGTGGAATAACAAATCAGTATTTCTCTCTTCCTCTCTCTCTCAAACCAATTTTTTGTTTTATTTTTTCTCTAAATTCAATTTAAAAAATTAAAAAATGCTATAATATTGAGCAGTTTTTACTTACTGTCAACTGATTAAAATATTTCTTTTTAATATTATTAAAAAGAAACTTCAATTTCTCTGATTGATTTGCCTTGAGCTCCTTGAAAGGGAGGGGAGCTGTAAGTGGGAACATAAAGCCACGAATAAAAACCATTCATTAGATCAGACCTGAAAGAGGCCTAGGTTACTTTGCTAGAAACTCTCCCACTCTTGACTATTGACTTTATCAATGATGTCATTTGGACTCATATATATGAAATCTTCTTTGTAGAAAACGGGAACATATAGTAACCAGGACAAAGCTAAACGTTTAAAAAGAAAAAAGACGTTACTGAGCCCCAATGCATCCACCCTTCTGAAACCTGATGTTCTCCAATAAGCTCCTTATCTTGTGCTAAATTAACTTCTTAAGGAGGACCTTAGACCAGTGTGGCTCTAATGGCCATGGTGGACTAGGTAAGCAAACCAAGATCTAAGCCTGCAAATGCTTCAAGGTGTGGAGGAAAAGGGGGCCACATATTAAACCTGACAAGCTTAGGGGAGGCCTGCATGGCAGGCTTACAAACTCAGAGACCAAAAGTACCTACATGGATGGTCTGCACACAAAAATTCCTAATGATGTGGGTCCACTGGACATCGCTCTGCAAAGCAAAATGTTGCCGGTTTGATTCTTGGTCAGGGTGCATGCCTGGGTTGCTGGTTCTGACCCTGGTCAGGGTGAATATAAGAGGCAACTGATTAAAGTTTCTCTCTCACATTGATGTTTTTTCTCCTTCTCTTTTTTCTTCTCCCTCTCTCTAAAAATAAATCTAAAAAAACTTAAGAAAAAAAGTTTAAAGAAATCCTAACTAAAAGCGAGTTATGGTGGGTAGTAACATCCTAGGCCTGTAGCTTCCTCGACAAAGTTCAAACTTTACCTTAAGTGAAAATGTCTATTGTCTTTTGCATCTAAGATAACATACTTTTGAAATATCAGAGTAATCTTTTCCAGAACCCCTTATTGTTACCTTGTTTCCCATATACCAACTCTATGTGCTATGTTAACTATTAACTATCCTGTACCCACCAATGTAAAAACTGTGTTTCTTTTGCCTTTTTTATCCAATCCCAGAGATTTCCCTGCTTAGCTTTCTCCCCAGCCCCCTTAATCTACATGGATTTCATGTAACCCTCCTTACATTTCCTTTTATTCTAATATATAAAATGAACTGCAGAACAGCCATTCTCCAGACTATTTTTTCAACCCATCATGATTGTGTTTCCTGGCAATTGTCAGTTTGGCTCAAATAAACTCATAAAAATTCTCCCTAGGTTTGGACATTTCTTACCTGAACAAAGCTTATATCAAAACACTAAGGACAATTAATCACAAACAGCCAATTAGGCTTTAAACTAGAGCCAAACAAATTATTTCCTTTCTTTTTAAAAAGATTTTATTTATTTTTAGAAGGGAAGGGAAGGGAAGGAGAAAGAGAGGGAAACATCAATGTGTGGTTGTGTCTTGTGAGCCCCTTGCTGAGGACCTGGCCCAGAAGCCAGACATGTGCCCTAGACTGGGAATTGAACCTGCGACCCTTTGGTGCATAGACCCACAGTCAATCCACTAAGCTACACAAGCCAGGGTGCAAATAATTTCCTTTCTGGTTTAGGCACTTTCTGTCTTTCCTCTAGCTGTACCTGCAGAGTGCTTTTGGTTTGGTGCTGGCAGATTGGTATTGATTTTTGCTCAAATAAACTCTTGAAAATATTAATATGCCTATTTATTTTTTAACAGTTTACATGTGCAGATCTGGTATTGCAATAATTGGTTATGGAAAATCGGACCATAGTGATTTAAACAAGGATCTGTCAGGAACTGACATAGGTTGTTATTTTAAAGTCAGAAAACCAACATAAATCTTCCATATATTGGAACAAAAGAAAAGTTTGGGTGATTCTAAACTCCTCCATTTGGATTTCCCCCTCGTTTCTGAGAGGGGTGGAAGGTGGCTATCACAAGGTAGTATATTTTATGAAGGCAGATACTCAGAAAACCGACCTGTAATGAAACTAGATACATCACAATCCCAGAGATTTCCCTGCTTATCTTTCTCCAGCCCCCATTAACAACCATTAATAGCAGCCAAGGAAGACGGAACTTGCTAGAAGAAACGTTGACTCCCAGAGATGAAGCCTCCCAGAACTATACCATCACCTCATTCACATAGTTAGTCTGCTTGAGTGTGCACAATGGTTGAATGTCTTTGATATACTGAATCCACTAAAATTCAAATCCACTCTCTCTCTCTTAGCTCTTGAATAGCTTCTTTCAGTGCAACAACAACTCGGTTAAACAGGCCTTCCCCCCCGCCCCCCACAACCACTTGTTAGAACAATAACAAAAGGCTTAAGAACCCACTTCCTTTCCAAATAAAAATTAAGGTAGATCGGCTTCCAGCGGGGCGGGGGTGGGGGACTGGGGGGAAGGGTTTAAGCGGTGCTGGGAGGACCATAAGCCTACTTCCCTCAGGCCCCCTCCTCAGTACCCTGGGAGGCTGGCTCTCTTCTCGACTGGCTCTAGAGGCCCAGGCTTGGGCCCATTCAGCTAGTTACAAGAGTGACTCAAGGTTACAAGATAGACTCCGGCCCAGAGGGCAGGGATAAGGTGCGCACCTGCCTCTCGCGTCTTGCGGCGGGCGGCTGCAAGTGCACAAAGCCCCGTGCTCGCTCTACACGTGGCGTAACTTAGCACTTCCGTGAAAGCAGCGGCACTTTTCGTGCTGTGCTTGGTGGGTGGCAGGGTCCTCAACTCCACCGACTCCAGAAGCTCCAGAGTCCCCCAACCTCATTCCAGGTCCCTCCGGAGCAAAACCCATCACGTCACAGTAGCTCCCCGCCCACCTTTAGGACGCGCACGCTGGAGGAAAGGAACGGAGCCCAGGTTGCGTAGGGAACGTGACGTCACAAAGAGGCTGCCCCCCCCAGGCCCCGCCCCCAGTAGTGCGCGGTGAACGCTGGCTCCTGTAGTCCTTGGCTGGGAGAGACGGCGGGAGCGGCGCTTGGTGCCTTCAGTCCCATGGCTTGCAGAACTGTGCGGCATACCTGTGAAATGAGCTGAAGGACGTGGACTGCCGTGGTAAGACATGGTTCAAGTAGCAGAATGATATCGTGCCTTGGAGCACTAGCCTAAATTTTTGTATAAAACATTGCTGCCCAGTAGAAATATAATTTGAGTCAGGTATGTAATTTAAAATGTTTTAGTGGATATATTTTAGACAGTGCGTTCAAGGTGGTATGGCTGTAGACAGTAGATACATTTTTTAAAAATCAAATGAAATAGGTAAAACTAATGTTAATAGCATATTTTATTTAACCCACTAAATCCAAATATTATTGCAACATGTAATCAATATGTTAAAAATATTGAGGTATTTTGACCCTTGCTGGTGTAGCTCAGTGGATTGAGTACGGGCCTGCGAACCAAAAGATCGCTGTTTGATTCCCCATCAGGGCACATGCCTGGGTTGCAGCCAGTTCCCAGCAGGGGATGCACGAGAGGTGACCATACATTAATATTTCTCTCCTTCTAATGATAAAAAAATTTTTTTAAAAAAGAGTCTCTCTTTAAAAAATTAAAAAAAAAATATTGAGGTATTTTGCCTGGCTGGTATAGCTCAGTGGATTGAGCTTGGACTGAAAACCAAAGGATTGCTGGTTAAATTCCCAGTCAGGGTACATGCCTGAGTTGTGGGCTAGGTCCCCAGTGGGGGCCATGTGAGAGGTGACCATACATTGATATTTCTCTCTTTCTCCCTCCCTTCTCCTCTCTAAAAAAATAAATAAATAAAATCTTTAAAAAATATTGACGTATTTTACATTATTTTTGTATACAGGTTTAAGGAAGCTGGTGTGGATTTTACACTTAACAGTACATCTCAATTCAAACCAGCCACATTTAAATGCTCAATTGCCCCATGTCACTAGTGGCTACTGTATTGGTTAGCACAGGTCTAAAGCCTTCAGAATGCCAGAGATGGGCAGAATAAGCTGTCTGGGTCATTCAGGAGCCTATACAATCCCACAGTTGTGTATCTCAATTTCTGAAGATGAGAGAATTCACTTTTCTTCTTGTTAGCCCTCAAAAATTAGACAGAAGTTCAAGTTACTTGATCCCATCCTTCTCTCTAGCTCAGAGGACAAGTTCCACAGGCCTCCTCCAAGCCTATGGACCCTGATCCTCTTTCTGTCTCTCCATCATCTTTAGTCTGCAACAGACACCCCCTTCCATCTTTAAAAGAGAGCTGCTCGTGGTGGGGGAACCATCTTCTAGGGTTCTTTGTCTCAGGGACTGCTACCACCATCAATTTAGTCCCATAAGTTAAAAAGTGAGTCACCCTCCTTGTTATTTCCCTTCTCTTAACCCCAACTTTTGCCTTTTCTCGCCCAACTTCAGTTCTTTTTCAGAGAAGCCAAAATTCGAAT